CCCAATTTCAGACATAGCCTCCCACCATGTGCAACGCAGTAGCCAACCGCATGCACTTAACCACCGACCGCCGACATGTACATAGAGTTGTCAGTGTTAACAGACAAGTAACATTGAGTGATATAACCGCAAGCATCAATGCCGAGCATGAAATGTACGTGTCTGTTATGACATTTGTTGTATGACGGCAGAAGACCGATTCGAGTGTCTTTGCTAAAAGGAGGACATCCCATCCAGTGCCTCTCTGTGCTCGTGACCATATTAGTTGAACACTAGAATACTGGAAAACTGTAGCTTGGTCAGATAAGTCACTATTTCAGGTGGTCAGAGCTGATGTGGTGAGTGTGGAACAGGCCCCAGGAACTCATGGACCCAAAATGTCAACAAGGTACTATTCAATCTGGTGATAGTTGCATAATAGTTGGACTGCACATAGACTAGATCCTAAGGTTTACTGAAATGGTTATGTTCAACTACTTGCAGCCATTCATAAACTTCATGTACATAAAAGATGATGCAATTTGTATGAATATTAATGCGTCTTGTCACCGGGTCTTCATAGTGAATCACTTAACATTTTTTTTTCATACATTTATTGATTTAAAAATTAGTACTTATGAGCAATTAAATTTTTTGAGTTTCCGATAGCTTTTTATGCAACAAAACTTTTTATAGAGCCAGTTTTTTATGCGAACTTTTTATAGACATAAAGCAACCTTGATTTCTTATTTCTGTTTCATTTCATAGTGCTAGCCTCAAAATTTTTTTAACTCTCTGTGTGAATGAAGGACATTTTCAGAACAGTTGAGACCAATAATAACTTAATTCTTCAGTTCACACCTTATGTTTCAATCCTAATTATACTTTTACCACATATCAATGACCATCACTGACAACATTTCCTGAATAAGAATATAAGATATAAAACATTTTAATTTGTATAAAATCCCCATTCTTATTTTTTTTTAACAAACCATCTTCATAAAAGGGGGAGGGGAACAGCAAGACATTTAACGTGATAAGGAATTGTGTGTACTTTTTTCCCTCGTTTCACCCCCTACCACAAAAACATTAGGATTTTTTTTCCTTGTGGTCGTTGGAGCAGGCAAAAATGTCGCAGGTGTTAAACGTTTTTCGCGTAAGCTCATTTTCCTGATTCTGTTTTTTTTCTCCGGGTCACCTACTTTTAGGCAGCGCTATTCCAAATTTATTTATTCTACCGTAAAGTAATAAAAATACATCTTCTAAATGTGAGACATTATTTTGCTTTATTTTTGTATCTGCAATTGAATGTTTGTGCCCTAAGAAAATGTGCTTATTTCATTGTTTTTCAAAATTTTTCTGCATTTCTACTCTTTTATTTTCTCCAAACACTTGTAGAGAGCAAGAGGAAAAAAAAAATTCTTATTAAAACTATTAAATTTTTTTTGTTTATTTATTTCTTTGTAATTGTCTATTTTGTTCTATCGATAAACTCTTTCCATAAAATATTATCATGAACTTAATTTTTAAATGGTATTCAAGTGTTAGAGAAAGTCTTATAGCATCATAAAATTTTTATCGACAGAATCTACAAAAATCAACGGTTAATATACTAATCACTAATTTAAATATTTCAATGCTTTCAAAGTAATTATCAAGTTCACTCTGTTTGCAGTGCCATCTGTTGACTAACATTGTGATGAATCTTGAAACTTGCGCTTCGTTTCCTAAGCATCAAGTAACAAACCGTATATTTCCATCTTTTATCGTTTTTCTTTAATCGAATTTTCAAATTTTCGGTTATTTTGTGAGTTTCAGTAAGATAATAATCGCATGAATTGCAGTAACAATATCCATAAGCAAATTCTTTTAAATAAATTCTTTCTCATTCGGTGCAAAATTGAATTTAAAAATTTAGTTAAAATTATTTTGATCATTATTCGTGGTCAAATTAAAATAAATAGTATTTTTAAAAAAAATTTTTGTGCATTAGATTAGAATATGCAAAACGTGTAAAAATAAAGCATTTTTAATTTGTTCATTAAATACTTCACATAAACTATTTTTCAAATTATATTGGAGTTCGAGATTAACTATTTCAATATTCAATGTTGGCTGATTGGGTGATCGTTATAATTAATGAACCGAATACAAAGTAGCTTATTTTTAAATTTAATTCGAAAATCGTATTTCAAAGCATTTAAATTTTTTATTATTTACATTAGTTCCTAATCTCCACGAAATAACTTTATTGAATGTCATTATATTTTACAACAGTGAAAGGGATTTTGCTCAGTACTTAAACTTAAGTCATAAAGCCCTAATCTGAAAAGAAGAAAAAAAATTCGCAGCGCAGGGCAATTTCCTTATTATAAAATGAATTGCTGAATTAAAGTATTCCACTATAAATTTGTTGGCTTTTATCTAACTAAAGATCAAAGGAATCGTTCGTAAAAGTGTATTTTTTACTTGATTTTATCTCCTTTCGAAAATTCATTTGCCCCCTTTGGAACTTGTTTCGAAATAAAGGTCTTGAATGACCGGCCAAAAACCCATAAAAATGATCTGAACAAGTCGTTAACGGATCTTTCGGTTTTCTCACATCTATTAAATGGGTTTTCCATTCTACTTTTCCTTATCCTAAAATATTGAGAGAAAAAAAATTCTGTGTCAGCGAAAAAAATTAAAACTAAACTTGCGTTGTATCTGACTTTTGTTTTGATATTCGTATGGTATTAAAAATATTGTATAGATAGTAACATTCGCAAATGAATGTTAATGACGCTATAAATAGACAATACCGGATATTTTTTTTTACTAATTGACGTTGCAAAGTTGACTGTTAACCGACCTTATAGCCAAAACATAACTATGCCGCAATCCTGATCCCCATCGAAAGAAGCTATAGTTTTTTCCCCATATGTGGGGGATAAAAAGTGGGAATTTCTTTCTTGCATTAAAAAAGTCGTTACGTATGAGAACCGATCGATATTTTTATGACTTTGAAAAATATTACATGAATTACAACATTCATTGGTGTATGTTTATAACGCAATAAATAGACAACGTCAGACTTTTTTTTTCATTTTTTGCGAAATATATACCTTACAACTTTATAGTATACCGACCTTATAGCCGAAACGCCAATATTTGCCTTTATCTTGTTCAACATAAAAAAAAGACGCTTTTTTCCCTAATGGGGACTGGGAATTTTTTCCTTATTCAGCAAAATAAGATGAAATCGTTACGTATTCGAACCAATCCAAAGTAGTCTAAAAAAAGGCATGGATGTTTAGAGAAAGCTCATTTCCAAAGTCTGATTCCGTAAATTAATCAGTCGTTAGCACCAATCAGTTATCATATTTGAGGTCACCGCTTTGAACTATAAAGATTGGTACTTAGTTGGAGAAATTCCGATCGTTAGAGCAGAAGGTATTTTTTGGTGCTATCATGTTTGTTTCTTATTTTAGTTGGCGCACTGTTTAAGTGTAGCTGGTAACGAACTTTGTTCCATGCTTAGAAACAAAAAAACAAGTAAGGTTGTGTAAAGGGTAAGTTTAAAATTGTGCACTCCAAAGCTTTACGATCCGTAAAAGTACTAGTTTAAGAAATTGAATGAAAATGAAGTTTTTTTTAATATTGATGAACTTCATATGTTAAAATAAATAATCAACATCTTTTTTTCCCACTTATCCCTGTTTATTTTACCAGATCAGAGAAAACAAACTTTAGCTGTTTCAAAACGTGATCAAAATGCCATCAATCTTGTTCAAATTGGAAGGGCCATTTTTCGTTCGTTTCTTGGGTTTTTGTAAGCGAGAGCAGAAACTTTGTTTTCGCTTATCTCACTTCTTCGTCGTCTAAAGAAGGACTCTTTTCCTAGCAGCTAATGATCCCATAATTCCAGTTGTCATAAAATGGCTAACTAATTGTAATTGTTGGGTACTTCTGCCTTAGGATTTTTCTTGCAAATCTAACTAAATGTATGAGACTAACACTCTAGCTATTCCTAATAAAACACCATGTTCCATGAATGCTTTCTTGAACTACAAACGCTCTACAAGTAAATTCTCTAAAGAGAAAGTCACGAATTGCAAAGGTATTTCAAAAAAAATCTGTAGAGAAATCTATCAGGTAGAAATAGAAATCCAGATAGTTTTGCTGAACTATGGACCATTTAACTTTGATTTGCGCAACTTTAAACTTGTTGTTGCTTATCCCTCTTGGCTTTGACAAACTAAGTCCTGCAGAACATGTCACAAAATTAAATCAAAAACCGCATCCCCCTCAGTCAACAGCTGCCCCATAGAGGCACCAATACAATCTAAGATATGAGAGGGAGAAGCAATGACAGAACAGCATAAGTCTTCTCATTTCCGTTCGAAATTAGACTCTTAATGTGACCAGTCCTAAGTCTAGATAGAGTGGTCTGATAAAGTCTTGGATCGGGGCACTGCAATGACAGTCCACTGGACTCAGCAGCATACCAAGCACGTCCGAGCGAGGTCATCCAAATGGTGTTTATACTAGCCAAAAACAGGGAGTAGATCTCAGAAAACTTCAAATTTATTTTAAACCACATAATACTTCTTGAGCCGTGATGCTGGTCGGTACGAATTCCGTATCTGGCTTGCACCGACCACAGTGCTGACGTAAAATAACCTCAGGGGTAGATGGATCATGGGTTAGAATCCCTTTGGCGTCAGACTAACCGTAGGAGGTTTTCGTGGTTTTTCTCTCCATGTCTTCCTCAAATGCGGGTTAATTCTATCAAAAAGTCCTCCAAGAAGGAAAATTTCTTAAAATACTTGATCCAGGAGTTCCCTTGTCTTCTGGATTGGGTTCAAAATGACTAGGCTTCGGGGTTGAACATTAGTAGTCACAAACACGAGAAATTGTGTCGGTTGTTCAACGACGGTTATAAAACAAAATAAAGTAATTCCTCTTGAATTCGATGATAAATTAAATATTTGTGAAACTTTTACTGTTATCAAAACAATGATTGTGTGTTATTCCAGGACATTGACTATGAGGGTTTTCAACAGTTTATGGATTCATACCTGGAGATTGAAACTCCCAGAGACCTGGTCACCCGACTTTTCCTATCCTTTGTTAAGAGGCCCACCAACAATACTCAAGCTATGCAGACAGTCGACGGAAGGCTACTTAAAGTAAGGATTCTGTTTTTAATTCAGAAGATAACTTTTGTTTTTATTTTTATTTTTGATAAGTATGATGAATCCCTGATACACATATAAGTCACGTTGAGCTTTAAATTCGTCCGAATTCTCCTCAATCTTAAAGTGCCAAATTGAAACTTATTGCAATCTTGCGAAATCTTATTACTTCTTATATACGTCTACTTTTAATCAATATGAAGAAATATAACTCACTTTTAATTCCTGACGACCAGGTGGCCGAGTGGTTAGCGTGCCTAACAGTGAAACCAATGGCTGCAGGCTCGAATCCCGCTCAGGGCATGAATGTTTATCTCTGTGTTACCCTCTGTTGTGTGTGATGTGGGAATTTGGCCTATCCTATGAACGGGCACTTGTCGCAGTGTGGCGTGGATAATGTCGCTCGCCTCCGTGACTTAGGCTCACAGGTGAACACTGGGTAACGTTAACGTAATCTTCCGAGGTGAAGAACGAAAGTTCAGTACCTACCTAAATTCATAAGATATCATTATGATTAGATATTATGAGTATCAGATGTTATCTTATCAGCTATTATGAGTATACCATGATCACAGTACCATGCATAAAACGAGTCTTTCTGACTCTAGCGGTTTAAGATGACAAGGACCTGTCTCAATACGGTCCTCTCGTTTCGCATGTCGAATTAGTATGTATGCATACTCATTATTGCGTATACTCTCGGAGTATGCGGATGTGGAAGTACTTTTATTTTCGCCGGTCCTAAAGGGGTCAATAGGACCGTAGAGAGTACCGGTTGCATAACCATTTTTTGCGAGTTATATCCACTGAATCAGTTTGAAACTCTATTTACCCTGCAACTTTATATTATAGAGTGTTAGAAAGATACACTTTTAAGTGAATACAGTTCACCAATTACCTACGCTGCAACACACAATGATCTCAAGCGTGCCATATATTTAAAGAATAAAAACGTTAAGCTCTTAATCCGTTCTAACTCTCCTTTAATTCTCTCGAATTGTACTCTTAATCTGCATTTATGAGCAAAATGATTGCTTCCTAACTATTCTCACTCCTAACTATTCAAAATGTGAGAAAGTAATTTTCTAAATTGCACCAAAACAAACGATAATTGCTATTCCAGACTACTCTAAAAGGTCAAACATCCAATCCTATCAATGATAACGTCATATGCAAACACGAATGGGTGTAATCTACATTTATGATATTTTCTCTACGTTACACTACTGATATTTTTTAATAGATGTGTGTCAAAACCTAAAGTGCTTTTATACAAATCATTTTGTATCTTTAATGTTATATGTAGACCTGGAGTACCATTTTCTAAATCATTTTTCATCTTTCAAAATAATCTGGGAAGATAAATATTCTTCGGAATATTTTTAGTCAAGGACACTTGAAGAAAACATAAAGTATTATTTTAAAATAATTTTTCAACTATAAAAACTAAACTGGAAAATTTGAGTGACACAATTCTGATCATTAAAATTGTCCACTAATCTAAACGTAAAAGTAGATTATTGGAGCCTGTTCTAGTGGTCTATCGAACTGTAACTTAAGGAAAATTTAGATTAAAACATGAAGTATAAGTTTCCAAACATTTTTCACCGGTGAAATGCAATTCTGAATTGACATCACTCAGATCATTAGAGATATTCGCTCATACTGAACGCTTTTTTACTTCTTACCCTTTCGTAGCAAGCATCGAAATTAGCCGGCATCCAATGCTCTGTGTGAACGAGTGTCGTAATTAGTCAACATCCACTCTTTTCTCTTATGTACGAGAGCCGTATTTAGCCAGCATCCACGTGACGTCCTGTGTGTACGAACGTCATATATAGCCAACATACACGTGTTTCCGTTGGGTACGAGCGCCGTATATAGCCTGCATCACGCTGAAGTCCTGCGTGTATGAGCGCCATAATTATCCCACATCCACGTGACGAATTGCATGCGTAGGAGCGCTGTATTTGGCCTGCGTCAGCGTGATACTGTTTAATAACCAACAGTTTGCTTCAGACTGTTACTGTCTAATATTCCATTGGCCTATATCAGATCAATAATATGGATAATTGAAAGCGCTTCAGGGCCGGGATAGCCTGGTAGGCAGGGCGCTGGGCCCATATCCAAGAGGTCGTGGGTTCGATCCTCGCCGGCCGAAGACTCCCCGTGTAGTAAATGGTGACTGATGCACATTAAATCTGTCGAGTCTCCATGTCCTCTATGTTCCCACAACAAATCAATACCTCTGGGGGTACTGATCCAGGAATTTCCTTGTCTTCTGGATTGGTTCAAAATTACAAGGCTACGGAGTTGAACGTATGTAGTCGTAAACCCATGAAATTGGGTCGGCTGTTCAACGACGGTTATAAAATAAAATAAAATTGAAAGCGCTTAAGTCTTTTTAAGTCGGAAAGACATTTTCCTTCGGTTATAGATCTGTAGGAAAAAAAACCGAAATAGAAAGTGCGTCATTTGCAGTGCAAAAGACAAAAGACGAAAATCTAAGTATGAGTGTGAAACAGTAATATAGTTTTGAGGACCCTTGTTTTAAAATTTATCATACTGAATTAAATTACTGTCATATTTCTGAATTATTCCGAATTGTATTTTTATTTAATTTTCACAAAATCTCCAAATGTCATCTCAAATTTCCAAATATCCAAATATTAGCTTACCGACGTGCAATGTGCACACTTTGCGACGTGGTGCACCGTTCAGTGAATTCATTTCAGCGGAGCGGACTACCATAAATAATAAAAGGGTTAAATGTATTTAAACCTGTTCTAGTGGTCCAATGAAGAAACTTTAGATTGAAGCCTCAAGAATTGGTTCCCAAATTAATTTTTCAACTGTGAACTATGATTCTAGATTAGCATCATGCAGATTAGATATACAATTAACCTATCTAATTCTAAATGTCCTGAAACCTGTTCTAGTGGATTGATGAATAGTAATTTGAAGAAAATAGAGTAGTCATGGAAACGTCATGGGGTAATGATTTCCAAAATATAATCATGGAGCGATATCATCCAGATCATTAGATAAATTTATAAATTTATTTATAGTATCTATCCCTTTGCATTTAAATCTATTGAATCAAGCCTATTCTAAGAAACCATTTATTTGGAGAAAGATTATATTTAATCACGGAATATTTTTTTCCAAATTATTTCTCCGTGATGAAATATTATCTTGAAATGGCACCATTCAGATCATTAGATAAATTCCTAAAAATTATCCTTTGTTCTACCTCTCTACAAAATATCTTAAGTGTTTCTTCAGAAAATGTCATACTTTTAAGAGTTTCTTCGGAAATTTTGCATTTACTTTTACTTATAATGTGCTCAGATTCGTAAACATTTCCCAGTTATTTTAAAGGTTATAGTCATTTTCCTTTGAAACATCCGAAAATCTTTCATAGACAAAGTTATTTTAAAGACTTAATAGATCATCAATAAAATTAGAGGAAAAATCGGAATTTATCTGACCCACTTTTTAAGCCTAATTTTGCAGAAAATTTGGAGAATTCATTTTGAAGATTTTCTGTGGAAAATAAAGCTTATAGAGAATTTGAAGAAAAAGTAGATTAAAACAGTGAGTCAAATGTTTTCAGATTTTCTGAGAACATTTTCATAAAAATTTCTCTGAGTTGTTTAGTGATGGCAATTAAAACTATTAAAGCCTTTTCTAGTGTCCAAGGGATTTAATTTTAAAAAAAGTTACTTTAAGTGTTTGAGTTTCTTTTGTCAGTAAAAATCACTCTCACCTATCTAAATCTCTTGCTTATCTCTGTTTAGTATATCTGTAAAACTCAAATACACGGTTCATATCTTTCGAATCGTTGTTTAAAATGTTTCTCTTTCCATTCAATGTGTTCTATAGTTTCAACGTGACTCGAAATGCGGTAAAATAAAGTTTCGAATGAAAATACTTTCCAACACTCGTAGAACAACTCCCGAAGTACGGAAGTAATGACTGTAAAAAGTATCAGAGAAAAACCTTCGAAATTATAGCCCATCGATGGAGAAGTGAAGTCTCTGTGTATATCTGCGATTAGGTTCACTAAAACCACACGAAAAAGAAAAAAGTTCTTTAATAGTCGTTCGTATACTTATTCTGCTCCCTCTTAGAGCCATCACGTGTCGTTTCGTGATTCCATTAAGATGGCGGAAGAAACTAGTTTGAAAAGGACGTGTGAGGCGTATCGCTTGCTTTTTCTCTGAATCAGAAATGGAACGAAGAACGGTTTCCTTTACCGTTCCGATCAGCAAATGAATTTTCTTTTTTCTTTGCACTTTCGTGGGGCAGGGAACTCTATTATAAGCAGTATCGATCGAATTTCTGACCAGATTGAGAAGTTAGATTCGAAAAAAGAAATAATTATAATGGAATCTGTTATTTTGAGAAACTATTTTAATTAGGGGTAAATATAAATGGAGTAAAACAAATCCTTTTAAAAACCCGTTTTGGAAACTCTAAAATATTCTATAATATATTAAATTAACATTTTGCCGACAGATCGGAGAGATATCCCGGTTACGCAATTGTTAGGGTAGCTTTTAAAAAAATGTACCATGGTTAGCTTATACTCAGGTACGACTCATTTGGTCTGCAGTTTTAAGATAGAAATACTATGTTCTTTGTAAATATAATACAGGCGTTACCATGGTATCCACTAATCTGACTTTTTCTCCACGGCAGTACTTTATTATTATAACATTATAATAACATAAAGTTATGGGTTATATCTATCTATACATCACCGTCGTTGAACAACCGACCTAATTTTCAGTTTGTGACTGCCAATGTTCAGCTCTGTAGCCTTGTAATTTTGAACCCAATCCAAGGAAACGCCTGGAGTTCTCTTGTCATATAATATTCGTATATGTATAATTATGCGTATTGGAAGAAATTTGGGTCGGGAAAGATTTTTTGAGTGAAGTAACCCACATTTACATTACATGGAGAGGAAAACTACGAAAATCTCCCAC